CCATAAAAGTGGTCAAAATACGGTGTTATCAACATCGTGACTTGAAACGACACGGTGGAGGCCGAGTGGTCGGAGACTCTTAACTCAGGTACTATAGATTGGAGATTTGGAGAAAGGGAATGGTTCGTTTATGGGTAATGGGGAGAGCGACATCATTTGGGAAGTAGATGATGCTTGGTTTGGGAGCAAGTGGGTCCTTGGGTTTGCTGGAGAATGGGAGATAGTGTGAGAGAAGGATGAAGAGAGAGAGGATTGAGATTGGGAACGATAACTGAATCGAAGAATCAGTAGAATATGAAAAAAAAATTGGGAGAAAAAAGATGATTTGTGTACTTTGGGTCAAAACCGAGAAAAAAAAATGATAAAATTTTTTTTTGTAAATTTAATTTAACGATTTCTGTTTTCTGTTTAGCATTGACATTTTTGGAGCCTAATTTTGCAAAGTTAATTTATGGTTGAGGAATAAATTTGCACACACAGTAGTTGAGGAATAAAACAATTGATTGCAAATACTTAACGAATTAAACGAGTATTTTCCCGATCTTTTCCTTCATCTACATAGGTGCATAAACTGGGCATCCTGATAAGGTTCTCAGCAGCTCCCTCTTCGTGTTCTTCATTTGCATTCACAATCTTAGCTTATTGGTGTTCTTCGTCCTCCTGAAAATTTTTCAATTATGAACTCCTCCTTTAATTATCTCTCTGCGTTTATTAATATGCTTCAGGCTCGTTTTTTACCTCAGACTCATCATCACAATTTCACCAAGTAATCTTAATACTAACCAAAAATCCAAGTAATCCCAATAAATAAACAGATAAAGAATTACAATAAATTTGGATTCGTATGTATCATATGATGGATTTCTATCGATATCATGATCATGACAAAACTCCTTACCCAATATTAATATTTTAACATATATAAAACACTTAAATAATTTATTAAATAATTTATAAAATAATATTAAAATATTTAATAAAGTTAATATTAATTTAAAATGACTATATGTATTTGAAGTTAATAACTATGATACAACATTACCATCACTTATATTATTATTATAAGTCTTTAACATTAATTTTGCAACCGACACAAATTATCATTAATAAAATAATTGATGCAAATATTTATATTTAATGGATATAAATACTCTATCACTTGCTTAATCAATGCAAATATTTACATTAATTACTTATTTGATGTAAAATATTTGCATAACTGGTGTAAATATTTGCACCACTACTTTTAAAATCATTTATTTAAGTGATGTAAAACTCTTTAACATCATATATAAGTAACGCAAGTAATAAATGATGTAAATCACACTTTATTATGACAATATGTAAAAGAATTTGTGATCGTAAAATATTGGTATATTGTTAAGGTTTCTGTAATTATATCTATACTATTAAAAAAGAATGGTGTTTTGTATTCAAACACAATTTTTACTTGGTTTTCTACTATTCTATTTTTGGATAACTGTTGGCAACAAAAATATTAATTTTAATTTAGATTTACTAAATAGGTTAATTTAGTGTAATATTAATAAAATAATGTATTTTTTATTTCTGTTTTAATATAAATCCAAAAATTTAGTTTTTCATTTAGATTTCTTATAGATTTATATAAGTTATATTATCAAAAAGTATAAATTATTATTGTATTTTTATAAAAATAATAACCTAGATATTAATTTAGATTTAATATAAATATTCAAATTTAAATAATATTTTTAATGATAGAGATGAAATAATATATTATTGTATATTTTTACTAAATAAGTATAAAATTTAAATATTTAAATTTAATAAATATTTAAAATATACAAATAAATAAACAAATTAAATGTTTTAATAATTTTAGTTTTTGAATTAATATAAATGAATATGTTATAATGATGTTTTTTAATTATGATATTTTTTTTTTTGATAAAGGGTCTTCATTAATGAAAATAAAATGATTACAAGAAAAACAACAGAATTAAGAACAACGAAAAAGGAAAAAGATGAGAAGACAGAAAAAAAACAAGTGAATAATACAACCAAGGATATGAACACACGAACAGAGTCCCTGAAAGCAAACCACCTGCAAAGATACAGCCCACTGATCCATCCCGAACAAAGAGTTGGCTGCAGAGAGCCTGCCAAGTCCTGCCCAAAACAAAAGAGAACGAAGTCCGGCCGAACACAGTCCTCTATGTTACAGAAAGAATGAGCACCGGTTAACAGAATAAGAGAGGGAGACTGCAAATTTGCATCTTCAGGGCACAACCGGTAAGAGAAGAACCAGAGCTGTCACAGCCGGCGATGAAAAGAGCCAGAGCCGCACCCCCTTCAAACCCTTCTAAGCAGACATCCAAAACACATCTTGCAAACCAAACACTCCCAAGACAAGAACCAAGAAACCAATCTGACAGGCTAAATGACAAGGAATACACAAACAATACAAAGAACAACAGGGACAGGAATGAAGATGGAAAGAGGAGATCTGAAGAAACAACAAGAGGCTGGCCGAAGACTGAATGAGGAAGAAAATCGCTGCTCCACACAAAACAGGGACCGAGGAGAAACAGAAGTGAAACGCCGGAGCTGGAACCAAGATCTGACCGCCGTCCTCGAGCAACCCATGAACCGGAAGCCGGCCACCGACAGTCACCTCCAATGAGCCCCTGAAACAAGCACCGCACCTAACCTCACCAAGAACCGGAAACAAACAAACCACGGAGAAGCATCTCCGGAGAAGAACTCGACGCGCCGCCGCACTCTTCACCTCAAACAGAGACTGCCGTCCTCAAGCAGATCTGAGAAATGGGGAAAGAAGCACCACCAGCCGACACGTCATATCTCCTCAAGATCGCAATTCCTCCGAACCACCGGTGAAACAAAGTCCACCTTGAGCCGCCGAAACCCAGATCTCCTCATGAAACCATCCGAGAACCTGTGAAATCCCATGCTGAAACTTGAGAGAGAAGCACAAAAGCGAAAAGGAAAGAAAAGGGGGACCCTCCCACGGTCCGGCGAGGAAGTCAGAGACCGGAGAGGGTAAGACGAGAAGAGATTTTTTTTTTTGCGGCTAGGGCGAACTTGGGAGCGTTTCTGCCGCTCAAAGACTTTTTCTCTTCCTAATTTGATTTTTTCCTTAATTATGATACTTTTCACATTAATATAAATTTACGGATTGAAATAATTTTTTCTAATTATGATCATATATAATACTAAAAAAATAAATTAATAGAAAAAAATTATATTTAAATAAAAATTTTATATTAGTTATTAAAAATTATACTAGATTTTACCTCGTGCGACGGAAACTATTTTTTATTTATTTAATATAATTTTTTTTCTGTTTTCTTTATACATATTTTTTAATAACTAATATAAAAGTTTTATTTAAATATAATTTGTTTCTATTGATTTATTTTTTCAGTATTATATATGATCATAATTAGAAAAAATTATTTTAACCCATCAGTTCATATTAATGTGAAAAGTATCATAATTAAAAAATGTCATTATAACATGTTCATTTATATAAATTCAAAAAAACCAAAATTATTAAAACATTTAATATGTCCGTTTGTTTTATTTGTATATTTTAAATATTTATTAAGTTTAAATATTTAAATTTTATACTGATTTAATAAAAATATACAATAATATATTATATCATCTCTATCATTAAAAATATTATTTAAATTTGAATATTTATATTAAATCTAAATTAATATATAAGTTATTATTTTTGTAAAGATATAATAATAATTTATACTTTTTGATAATATAACTTATATATAAGGAAATCTATAAGAAATCTAAATTAAAACTAAATTTTCGGATTTATATTAAAACAGAAATAAAAATACATTATTTTATTAATATTACACTAAATTAACTTATTTAATAAATTAAATTAAAATTAATATTTTTGTTGCCAATCCAAAAATAGAATAATAGAAAACTAGAATAGTAGAAAACTAAGTAAAAATTGTGTTTGAATACAAAACACTCCTCTTTTATAGTATAAATATAAAAACCAGAAAACAAAAATTATATTAAATAAATAAAAAATAGTTTGAATCTAAGTTAATACTTAAGTAAATCCTTTTGTTGTTTACTCTTTCTTTTTAGTATCTTAATTTGAGCGTTACAATGCCATGAAGACACTAGATTGATATTTTAATAACTGTTGAACGTTTTTCATCGTAGGCATACTGATTTTTGTCCTCAGAGTCAGAGATCAAATCTCTCTCAAAAACTCTTTCGTATAACCTCATTCTAAATCATCCGGGGTAAATATATATCTGATAACTTGCCTTAACAAGTGCGACATTTATATTATGATTATCGAAAAAAATTCTATGAATGAACGTGGTTATGTCCTTATCCTGTTCCGTACATTCTCTTCCATCAAATTAGGAAGCTTTGAAGACGGCAGCTTTTATAAATTGTCATTTTCAAGTTAGGTCAACTTGTTTATGTAACTTGATCTTGTAATTAATTTTTGTGACGTAACAAAGCGCATATGGTTTTTCATTATTTAAAATTCAACTGTTTATGAAAGCTTGCCACTTGCAAAAATAATTTACTTAGGGTATTTGACTTTTGTTACAAAATAAATTAATCTCCATGTATATATGTGATATTAGTGTAGCAGCGACGTGGCAGTTGACTGCTATGCTAAATAGCCTAAATGAGTTACGGCCCATTAGAGTAACCAAGAGTCAAAGCCAGAAATATAAACGGCATCGTTCTATACCATCTCAAGCACCGTCTCTAAACGACGACATTGCTACAAAGATGGTCAACAATGGTGGGAGACTAGCAACCGCTGAACGAGGGAGAGACTTTCCTGGGCTATGAAACGGTGTAGTTACGAGGTTAGATGAAAAAGACAGATCGGCGGCAACGAGCCATGTCTTCCATGACTCAATATCTTATCTTTTCTCTCTCACATTACATTATGTTTCTCCGTCTCTGTTGACTTATTCCGTGAAATTTGGGAATCGAAGATAAGATAAGGTATGGCTCGCATTTTTAGGAATTATATTAATCGACGTGAGGCTTCTCTTTTCCTTCTATTTTTATTCCACTTTTTTATTTTTTTTTTACAGTGATTTCAGCTGATTTTCTGAGTTTTTAATCCTACACATATTCCCTGTCAGCAAAAAGTCATTTTCAGGATTTTGTTTTTTTTGGCTTTATCTAAACTTTCTTTTTTCTTTTTGGTTGGGGAATTTCGGCAAGTTGTTTCTTTCTTTTATAATAAAAACGCGTTCAGGAAAATTGTTTATTTAAAAAAGGTGATTGTTACATTTTAAATGTGTTTAAATTTGAGTAATCTCGAAAGCTGAAATGAGCTGTTTTGTCTTTACCCAAACCATATTATTGTATATAATTGCGTGTGCCCGTGCTTTAGAATTTCAGACATCTATCCATCATCTTCTTCCGTTGCAGCTTCGTGGAATTACTTTCTCTTTCTTCCAAGATTAATCAAAAGGTCTGTCTTTTTATCTTCCCCTCTCTGAATTTGATGCTATTTATGTATATCTAGGGTTCTTCCTTGTGGATAATTTGTTATTTTTAGCTGAGATATAGCAATCGATCTAGAGATTACTCAGGGATCGGATGTTTCTGGGTTTGTTCTTTCGTTTGTATTTTGGATCTGAAAAATTTGATAAGCAGATTTAGCTAAAACAACGTTCTTGGTTTTTCTCTTTAAAACAAAGCAGATAAATTTACAAATCATTTCTTGGTTTTTGGTTCTGTGTCCATCAAATTAAGTTTTGTGATGGAATGTTGTTAAACAGTGGAAAAACAAAATCATGTTGGAGAAAGAGTTTTTCACGGAGTATGGTGAAGCAAGCCAATATCAGATCCAAGAAGTGGTTGGAAAAGGAAGCTATGGAGTGGTTGCTTCTGCAGAATGTCCACACACGGGAGGGAAAGTGGCGATCAAGAAGATGACCAATGTGTTTGAACATGTCTCAGATGCGATTCGGATCCTCAGAGAGATCAAGCTTCTCAGGCTTCTTCGGCATCCGGACATCGTTGAGATTAAACATATTATGCTGCCTCCTTGTCGCAAGGAATTCAAAGATATATATGTAGTTTTTGAGTTGATGGAGTCAGATCTTCACCATGTCTTAAAGGTAAATGACGACCTCACTCCTCAGCATCATCAATTCTTCTTGTACCAACTTCTTCGTGGCTTAAAATTCATGCACTCAGGTAAGGTTTCTTGGTTCCCTTCACTCTTAAACTGTGTTTAGCTCTTAGAGTTCCATCTTAATTAACTTTTGTTGTTTGTTTTTCGTCTGCGCTAGATGATAGTGTTCTTATCATCTTTTTGGCTCCTTGTTTGTTTTGTTGTCTGTCTATATAGCACATGTCTTCCATAGAGATCTGAAGCCTAAGAACATCCTCGCTAATGCTGATTGCAAAATCAAGATCTGTGATTTAGGACTTGCTCGTGTGTCCTTCACTGATGCCCCATCTGCCGTTTTCTGGACTGTATGTTTCTATCCATCTCTTTTACGGTTTTCCACTCATTAAGTTCTTAAAAAGTCTAATATGCAGAGAGTTATGAATGCATAGTAAGTTAGTTTATTGTTCTTTTACAGAGAGGTATGTCGTAATGCGTTTGACCTTAAAATGATTAAGTAATATGTACTTCTGCAAAGTAACCAATCTTTACATCTTCTTTTGCAAGGACTACGTTGCTACAAGATGGTACCGTGCTCCTGAGCTCTGTGGTTCCTTCTATTCCAACGTAAATTCTTGTTCCGTTTCCATATAAATCCTTATGCATACAGATAATTTGATGTGTGAGCTTATGGAATATTGATATGTTTATGCAGTACACGCCGGCGATTGACATGTGGAGCGTTGGCTGCATATTTGCTGAGATGCTAACAGGAAAACCTTTGTTTCCTGGCAAAAACGTTGTGCACCAGCTAGAACTGGTCACGGATCTGCTTGGAACTCCGTCGGCGATAACTCTATCCAGGGTTTGTTTTGTTTTTATTTTTCCTGGAAGCTAACTCGCAAATACAGAGGCTTCTCTCTCTCCAAAATAGACTTGCTTTTGGATGCAAGTTTTTTTTTTTGAGTTTTTTGTGTGTCATGAGGCTGTTTATAATCGAACTGTAGATTCGGAATGAGAAGGCTAGAAAGTATTTGAGTAACATGAGGCGAAAGGATCCTGTTCCTTTCACCCATAAATTCCCAAATATCGATCCTGTGGCGCTGAAGTTGCTTCAGCGTTTAATTGCTTTTGATCCAAAGGACCGTCCCTCTGCAGAAGAGGTAAGGAGGAAGGAAAAAAGTGAATTGCATTCATTTTTCTTGATTCTTGATTCTTGATTCTTGATTTTTTGATGCTTTTGTTTCCTTTCCTTGTTCAGGCATTGGCTGATCCGTATTTTCAAGGATTGGCAAATGTGGACTATGAACCTTCGAGGCAACCTATCTCGAAGCTCGAGTTTGAGTTTGAAAGGAGGAAACTGACTCGGGATGATGTGAGGGAGCTCATGTACAGAGAGGTAAATAAAGACATTCAAGGAATCATATGCTTGAGTTTTAGGAATCTCTTGAACTGATTCGTTTGGTTTCTGGAGTATGAAACAGATTTTAGAGTACCATCCACAGATGTTGCAAGAGTATCTACAAGGAGAAGAGAACATCAACTCTCATTTTCTATACCCGAGGTTCGTCCCAATTTCTCAATAAATAAAAAAACTTGGTTATTCGTAGGAATGAAAATTTGTCTGAATTTTGTGTATCGATCTTGACATTCAGTGGAGTTGAACAGTTCAAACAAGAGTTTGCCAGACTCGAAGAACACAACGACGATGAAGAGGAACATAACTCGCCACCACACCAGAGAAAGTACACTTCACTCCCAAGGTGAGTTATTACTTCTTGAAACTGAACCATGATCGAGTTTAAGCGAAGAATCAGGCTATAACTAGCTTTGGTTTTGTTGCAGAGAACGGGTGTGCTCATCAGAGGACGAGGGTGCTGATTCGGTTCACGCATCGTCTTCGTCTTCAGTGGTGGTTACACCTCCACATACTCCAAACACAGCGACTGGCTTATCGTCACAGAAGACAACAACAAAAGTAGATAAAGCAGCAACTCCGGTGAAACGGTCTGCTTGTCTAGTGAGGAGTGATAGTATCTGTGCTTCCAGATGTGTCGGCGTCTCCTCTGCAGTCTCTTAGTCAAAATAGAAAAAAATTGATTCTCAAGTTGTTTAGCAGCAAACCATTGATTGTTCTGCGTATTGTATGATGTCTCTCTGAGTTTCCACTTAACTATCTTTCTTCATTGCTCTTGCTCTGTTCATGTTGTGTCTTGTGTGTAATGGTTTCTCTTGGAACTTGAATTCATATATTTTTCTCTTTTAGTACAATATTTACAATCTATCTATTCATCTGCTTATGATTCTCCGTTCGATCACAAATTGTATATGGGAAACAATTTACAAGGAAGCACCAGCTTTTATTTGATCAACATCACCAACCTAATTTAAATTCTGTAAACACATTTTAAGATATCTTCATAACCTTTGTTTTTTCTATTTTTCTTAAAAATATTTGGTTTATTGCATGTTTAATTTCTGCACTTGTCCAAAAAAAATATATATACGTACATGAACAAATCATACATGACCAGTAAATTTTTAATTTTGGTTCAGACCAAAAATATGTTGATGGATAACTCAAAAAGATTAATTGTTTAATAAATAAATTGTTCAGTAACTCAAGTCCCTCTCTCTGCAATCTCTCCAACATTCGAACTTGAACTCGATTCGTAAGGGGTTGTTTTTCAGCGAAGATCCTCTTCAAAGACTTTCCCAATTCGATTCAATTCGATTCTGGTCAATTTGATTTGTCTGCAAGTGTTTCTGATTAGTCTCAGAAACCCTTTTTGGGACTTCGATGTGAGATTACTTCAGGCAAGCCATGTTCTGAACTCTAATGGCGGCAGTGACTCTATCCTTCGTGCAACCATGCGGCATGGTACTCGCCTGTTCTTATAATTCGGAAAACGTATTCATGTTGATTTGGGTTTTCGGTCTTTGATTTGTTCTTTCGAAAATTTCTCAGTGTTTTGCTGGTAGACGATTGAGAAATGTGATTGTAATCGAAGCCCAGAGAGGAAGCTGGAAGAGAATGAGGTATTTCTACTCATCACTTTCACTGATTGTTGTTGTTTGTTAAAATTAGGTTGGTGTTGATCAATCAAAGCTGGTTTCTGTAGGTTGAGTAATTTCTTCTTTTCCCAAGTGTGGAAGGTATCTTATCGATCAAAGCATAAATTTCCTGACAATCTTCTGGAACGAGTTGAGAAGTCTGCCACTGCTAGGCTCGAAAATCAGTCAAAGTTGATAACTAAGGCAAGTGCAGTTTTGTTTGTTTGTTTATTGGTTTGGTTTTGAGCTTTGTAATCATGTTTCACTATACGTTTGAAATAGCTGTGATTCCTTACCCTATTACGCAGGTTGCAGCTTTAATGGAGTATGATAATGTTGATGATGTATTTGATAAGAAATCTGATGAGAAAGTTAAGGAAGAACTTGAATTAGCGTGTAAGAGGTTCCCTGCAATCACTCTTGGCTATTCTCCTCCGGTAGAGTTATACAGCAAGAGCAAATCTTCCAAGGAAACAAATAGCATTCTCAAAACACCAACTGAGAACAGTTTTCTTCCCACTCCCATGCATTTAGGATGGCTTGATCCCGACAGTATTTCAGGAACATTATCTTCCTTCTGTCCAGAGGTTCTGAATGTTGATTCTTCCAATCTCGGTGAAGAAATTTCAGATGGTTCTTCTTTTACGGTCCAAACTTTAACTTCTGAAGTTGAAACAACCGCAGATGATTCTGCCGCTCAGCTTTTCCTTAGCGGTACTATAGGTTCTGTGCCTGGGTTAAGTAAGAGGCACAGTTATCAGCTGGACAATTGTGGCTTTCACACGGTAAGCATTTATGTACATGGAAACAAAAACATTTTCTTGAGGAAAGGCTTAACCCCATATTTGGAAAACTCTCTTTCAATGTAGATGAGGAAACTATTGCATCATTTTCCTCGAACTTATGTAGATTTTCAGAATGCACATCTTGATATTGAGGATGGACAGTATTTGATCTTTGTTGGGAAAAGTCCTGTCTTCCAAGTGAGTCTTTTTTTCCCAAATTTTTTTTTTATTTTTCTTTTCTAAAATTCATCTCAAGCATTTCTCAAAAATATCTTTTATCAAGAAATCGGTTCTACTACCACCTTTTCTATCCTGCTGATAATTTCTCAATTATGTATCAATACCCCTGAATGGATTGGTTTATTCCCTTTTTTTTGTTAAGGCCGAAATCTATAAGTTTTGGGAATCTAAATTTTTTTAATTTCTGTGCAATTTCATTGGGGTAGGGGGAATTTTCATTTCTTGAGGTTATTGTCAGCTGTGAAGTTACAGGCAAAGACAGAACTCCGGAGAATATGAGTTATAGTGCTGATGATAAAGGAGGAAAAACTTTTTTTTTGCATCTGAAGAGATTCTTCCGTGGTGCTCGCTTTACATGGCAACCATTTCTTAATAGTATACAAGAGAAACATAGACCTGGGGACCTTGTATGCGTTAGCGGGAAGGTTAGTCCTTTGGTTCCCCTAAATTTGTCCTTGTATGTGCTTTTTATGCCTTGCTTAGGTAGTATACTTGTTTGTCATACTGCCGCATAAGTCTTTAGCACTCTTCCTGAGGTAAGCTTATGAAGCTTGGGCTTGTTTTAGCAACCCAGCTGATTCAGTAATATGTTGATAATCTCTTCGGAATCTAGGTGAAGGCGCTGCGTGCGGAAAATCATTTTGAAATGAAGGAATACAATATTGATGTACTCAGAGATGAAGATGAGTCATCTCTTCAAGCTCAGGAGAGACCATATCCTGTTTACCCGTCAAAAGGAGGGTTGACCCCGAAGTTCCTTAGCGATGTCATCTCCAGGTTTTGTTTCTCTTTCTTTTCCGTGATCTTCACTGGTGGTGGGTGAAAAAAATACATTTATTTTTTCCAGACCAAAAAGTAGTTGAGAACAGTTTTCAGGGAATCGTTTTAATCTTAAGTAAAAGCCTCACCTTGAACATGATCCTATTATGTTTCACGACTTGCCTGAGTATGAGTAATTGTTTGTTCTTCACATATTATAAACACTTGAACTTCTCAGAACTAAGCATTACATATTTCGATCTTGTTTCTCACACCTCAACCTCTTTTTGTCTCCTAGGATTCTGAGGGTTCTCCCTGCCAACATGGATCCGCTTCCCAAGGAAATAACTACAACGTTTGGCTTACCATCTCTTCATGATGTAAGTCTTGTTTCTCTGTTGAAGCATGCTCTTTAATTAACATCTTCTTTAGTCCACAGTGAAATCTCATGTCCTCAATTGCTTTTCATTTTCACTTTTTTTTTCCTCGGTATAAATGTAGGCCTATACTGGTATTCACGAGCCCAAGAATTTAGATGAGGCTGATTTAGCTCGCAAAAGGCTTATATTCGACGAATTCTTTTACCTACAGGTAGCTAGCTTATTTTCTTCTCAGTAGCGGCATTCTTAATCGGAATTTGTTAGTTAAAAAAGCATCTCGTTCTTTGATTTTTGTTTCCATACAGTTGGCACGCCTGTACCAAATGCTTCAAGGTCTTGGCACAAAATTAGAGAAAGATGTATTGCTGGAAAAGTTTAAAAATCCAGTGCTCAATTCCGCTTATATAGAAGACTGGTCTCATCTCACCAAGTGTTTTCTGAATGCTCTACCATATTCCCTTACTCCCAGCCAGCTAAGTGCTATCTCAGAAATAATATGGGATCTAAAGCGTCCGATTCCAATGAATCGGCTTTTACAGGTAGCTTTCTCAGTGGAGCTTACTGTTTTTTTTGTTTTAAGGTCATAGTTGTATTCTCTTTTTGTAGTCGTTTAGCCAATTTACTAAGCTAACACTATCAGATTTAAAAGTGTTTGTAAACTTGTTTATGTTAGCAAAATGAAAGTTTCTTATTAGATTCGTTTCCTTTTTAGGGTGATGTTGGATGTGGAAAAACAGTCGTAGCTTTCTTGGCGTGCATGGAGGTCGTAGGATCTGGTTACCAGGTTGGTCAATGAAATCTCGCTACAACCTTTTTAAATTTCACCGTGTGAAGTTGATTTCTCATTCAAACTCTCTTAGATACGTCATTGACTCATTATTGGCATGTTACTCTCTACCCATCTGTAGGCAGCTTTCATGGCCCCCACAGAATTACTTGCGATCCAGCACTATGAACAGTTACGTGATCTGCTGGAGAAGATGGAGGGGGTATCATCCAAGCCAACCATTGGATTGCTCACAGGCTCAACACCGACAAAACAATCAAGAATGATTCGCCAGGTAAGTCATGCAGCTAATAAGTCGCTTTAAATTATGCAATGCAATAAGTTTGCCTTCCTCATTAGCTGGACATTGATGACAGGATCTTCAAAGTGGAGCTATATCGATTGTAATTGGAACTCACAGTCTGATAGCTGAAAAGATAGAGTACTCAGCATTACGTATTGCCGTGGTTGACGAGCAGCAACGGTTTGGTGTAATCCAAAGAGGAAAATTTAACAGCAAGGTCAGGCCCCAGAATATTTTGATTCTGTCAGATAATTGCTTTAGTGACTCTGGTTGTTAAACAAATAATCGACACAAGCATATAATTCGTAGACTGAAGTAAGTTTATTGTTTGCTTGACTGCTGCAGTTATATGGGACATCTATAATCTCAAAAACCGGCTCATCTAACTCTGATGATACTTCCAAAGCTGATCTCAATATGGCTCCTCATGTTCTTGCAATGTCAGCCACCCCAATCCCGAGATCACTTGCCCTCGCTTTATACGGAGATATTTCTTTGACTCAAGTATGTAACTCACTTGTTCCATGTAATTACACGTGGTAAGCATTGTTAATGATGACTGCAATTCTTTCTTTCTTCAGATTACTGGCATGCCACTTGGGAGAATACCAGTTGAGACGCACATTTTCGAGGGAAATGAGTCTGGCTTCAAAGAAGTCTACTCGGTAATGCATATGACAATAACTACATCTCTTTACTTGACTCTCAGCATAAAAACAAATCATTCAAGACTTTGCTTTTGATTTATAAAATTTCAACCGTATGTAATCCTATAATTGACAGATGATGCTGAAAGACCTGAACTCTGGAGGAAGAGTATACCTTGTGTATCCCGTTATTGACCAATCAGAGCAACTGCCACAGCTCCGTGCTGCCTCTGCTGAGCTCGAAACAATATCCAAAAAGTTTCCAAATTACAGCTGCGGACTATTACACGGAAGGATGAAGAGTGACGACAAAGAAGAGGCTCTAAGAAAATTCAGAAGCGGAGAGACACAGATACTTCTCTCCACTCAGGTGATAGAGATAGGTGTTGATGTTCCAGACGCTTCAATGATGGTCGTCATGAATGCTGAAAGGTTTGGAATCGCTCAGTTACACCAACTCCGAGGACGCGTTGGCCGTGGAACCAGAAAATCGAAATGCTTACTAATTGGTTCAACTGCCAATAGCCTAAAACGGTTGAAGATGTTGGGGAAATCATCAGATGGGTTTTACTTGGCAAACATAGACCTTCTTCTACGTGGACCTGGTGATTTGCTTGGGAAGAAACAGTCTGGGCACTTACCAGAGTTCCCGGTCGCTAGGCTTGAGATGGACGGCAATATGTTGCAGGAAGCCCACATCGCCGCTTTGGTAATCACTCATTCTCTCGTTACAGTTAAATAATAAACTTATATGTTCTCTGAAATGTGAAAAATCATATTTTGCCTTTGATGCTCTGTTTTCCACAGAAAGTTCTAGGAGATTCTCACGACCTGGAGAAGTTTCCAGCGCTGAAAGCTGAGCTTAGCATGAGACAGCCACTTTGTCTACTGGGGGACTAAAAGGTTACACATGCCGATGTACATACCATTTTTTCCTGTTTCATACTCGGTATTACGAATTCTGTTTTGGTATTTCGGGACTATGACATGACACAACATGTTGTTAGTAGTGTAGTTTTTTTGGGGTCAATATCAGATTGTCCCTGTATGCCCATAGTAGCTTTAAGATGAATACTTGGAGCTGATGATATGCCAAGTAGAGTTTTGTGGTCTTAATTTGAATAGTACTTGAGCTAATGGAATCTATAAAAGTATATAAATTAGTGCTTGCTTTATTTATACATACTACTAATAACTAGTTTATAGGAGAGTTTTTGTGGAGAGTGAATTGATGTAGAAAGTGGTAATAGGAACTAGGAAGGGATGGTGAGTGGACCCACAGGAGTTTTAGTGAGAGTAGCAACCAATGAGGAGATTCACGGGGAAGGGACAAAGAGACAAGTGGTGGCCCACAAAATGTTTCCTACCCAATCATCAAAGAATGGGACCCACTAACCTCCTTGTCTCCTCCTTGTCTTTTGCCCCCACAGAGAAAAAAAACTTCTCTTCCATATTGAAACTTGAAGTGTTGGTAAGTTGTTTCACATCTCATGGACACTTCTTGTGCGCGAATCGGTGTCCTTCATCATTCTGCGTCTTCTTTTGTCACTAGCAAATCAGTCCTTCACTACAACAAGATCCATAATGAATCGATCATTATTAAAGAATATCAGACATGTTTTGAGAAACGAAACATAATCAAGAGATCATCGTTTGAAACAGAACCATATATACAAACACTTCCTTTTTTTTGGGTGTGTATGAGCTATATAATTGGTGCTGGTCCGCAATATTTTGATGATGATTTGTGGGAGTTAAACATTTTGAAAAGAATTTCTATAGTTAAATTAGCATGGGAGGTGGGGTTTGATAAAGACAATCATGATAAGACAATGCTCTTGTTTAATTTGAACACTACAAGACCAAAAGCTTTCACACATAACTATGACGGCTTTTTAATCCTTGTTTTTTTTATTAACAATAATGAAACAATCCCTTATTTCTCTAATGTATTTGCATTAATGCACGTTGATGATTGTCTTTTGTGCGAACTGAAATTGAAACCATATGAGTAGCAAAAGTAAAATGAAAACAGTAGATTAGAATGGGTTTGGATCCAATGAGAAAATGATTAAGAGACAAGACAAAAAACTTTTTTTTTGACTTTAGAAGATAGTGATGTCGGAAGATAAATCTGTGTACGTCCCGAGACGAATGATTTGCTCATCGGAAGCTACAAAAGCTGTTTGTACAAAAATGGGGATCCTCTTTTCATTTTCTATAATATCTTCTCTTCCACCCTCAAATTATATGTTCCTTCCATAACAGAAATAATTGAAGCTTTAAAATCCAACACACAAATTTATACTTTCAACCTTTTAAACTTAAAAGAGAGTGATCACTGTGCCACTGTTACACCTACTGCGACATTGAACCAAAAGATTATATAAAATAACATGATATATTACCAGAATTTAACTATTAATGTGTTTAAAGCCGGTAACCCATTCACAAAATTATTTTTATGAATTATAACGTTTATATATCCACAATAATAAAAAATAAAGAAGGACTAGACAATGATTGTAGTTGTGTGCGAATGTGCGATCAATCGCACAACGAATATGGTGGTGACTAGTGACTACACAGATCTGGTCTGATATAATAATAACTGCTTTTAATTTTTGTATCTATTTCTGAAACGTAATGAACGCAAATCATCATGCACCAACAAAGAATCAAAGATAATATCAGCCTTTATATACACAAAAAATAAACTGACAATCGGTACTAATCTATTTTTGTTATTTCTTTATGTGTTTGTGCGATAAATTGTTGTTGTATATAAAATATTTGAGAAGCTCTGGTTCGAATCTGATTGTTAAGCAGTCAGTTGAAATGCGTGTAATTAAATCCAGTGCTCATAGATGCAACAATCAACATTTATATATGAGTCATGCAAATGACCAAGAATGCACCACAAAAAGTCTAGACTGCTGGGCCAGTATGCTATCTTGTATATATATACGTGTTTTTGTTTGTTTTTGTTTTACAACAATACACATAGTGCTGCTAAATTCAACAAACTAATTAAACATCAACGAAAACACATATTTACATTATCATAGATATGCATGCAGTACAAAATTACAAAGTATAATAAGATTAAAAAAAAAAAAAAAAGATGATGGAAACAAAGCAAGATGAAAACCACTAGATTTAACCATAACGTTAATCACATTATCATATATAAGCATGCATTGCATGATTTGGATCTACGCATACTTGATTAGATTCATAATTTATTGGTTTGTAACGATGCATCGCAATAAACAATGAAAAATTTGCATGGGAATTGTTGAAAAAACATACACAGAAAACTGTTTTCTTACTAATTTAGTCTAAAGTAGTTATTAAGTAATTAATCAATTTTAAAATTATGTAGTGAAACGTTACATGTTTTATAGTTAGCCGATGGACATTGTTACATTTGACCCACAGTAATGTTCTTATCTTGTATTAAATGATCGTCTCTAAACCGTACAAAAATTCAACAACCACAAATCAACGTAGTAAATATGATTTTTTTTTTGTAGTAAATATGATTATTGAATATGCGTTTCTACCTCAATAATTTTCACCAGTTATACTTTCACGATTTCAGCCTACTATTAATAACAAACATCATCGGGTACATATATGTGTATATCAAAACAAGAAATGCAAAAAAAAAAGTAACCATATATATATATATATATATATATATATATATAATAAAGTAATGGGAGATGATGGAGAATGTGGAGAAGCGTATAGAGTGAGAAGTGTTCAGGGTCTCAATCATTTTCACAAGCTAGATATTTGGACCGACTCAGGTTCCTAAGAAAAAGAAAAGAAAAAAAGAGAATCGATCAAATGTTTGATTATAAAAATTAAAAATAACAATGTAGAAAAAAGTAGAGAATAATAAATGCAAACTAATTAATTGCTTAAACAAACAGAAAACCTGCTGGTTAGTCTCCCACACGGAGTCAGCATTAACTACGCCATTGATTTACTGTTCGACACGTGTCAGTTATCGAACGACTCTTCTCATATTCCTTTGACTCGCGGACTTCAGTCAAAAGACCCGCGCTCTTGTATTTAATAATCAATGACTAAATTAGCTTTTAATCAATAGATAACATTATTTTTTTCAAATTACAATTGAAAACTGCGTAAAATGTTCCAGTATGTTAATACTACGGTTTAACTATAGTCTATTTAATGGACACCTATACATTAGAATTTAGACATCTTATTATTTTCTCCTTACATATTACATTGGTTATCTTTTTTCATGATAAAACTACTATTTACGTACATACGACAATAATATACGTACGCATTTAAATATAGTACTCTATTATATGGATTACGCATGCGTGCGTTTGTATATACTACACATATATATATATAAAATACTATAAATATATGTATGTGTAAATATATATAGAGGCATCGCCACGCTTCAAGTTTGTCTCTCTTTATTATAAGTCTTCTTCCTATCTCTAACTTTACCTTTTCTTCTTCTGCTTCTTCTTTCTTGCTGAAGAACCCTAAATTAATTAATTAATGGCGATTTTACCGGAAAACTCTTCAAACTTAGATCTTTCTATCTCCGTTCCAGGCTTCTCTTCCTCTCCTCCCTCCGGTAAGCCATAAATACACTAGATACTATATATATTTTTTTTTTTTACAGATACTATGTATCTATATATATAATATGATCATAAGTTACTACTTTAGAATTCCCTTATGTTTCTTTTGGTTGATGATCTGATTTTATTATTTCGTTTTACAAGGAAAGATCATAATAAAAACAAGATCTCATGTATGTATAACTAATTTATCATCGTCATATTTCTATAAATTAAAATTGATTTAAAAGATATATGATTATGTTTTCTTGTCTTATTCGCCTTTATCACATAATATTCCGCTTGTTTTTCGTTGTTATTTTTTCAGATGAAGGAAGTGGCAGAGGAAGAGAACAGCTAAAGCTTGACATGAATCGATTGCCGTCGTCTGAAGAAGATGAAGAATTCAGTCACGGTGGCTCTGCTCCTCCGCGCAAGAAACTCCGTCTCACTAGAGAACAGTCTCGTCTTCTTGAAGATAGTTTCAGACAGAATCACACCCTTAATCCCGTAAATCAATACTATTCACTATCAGATATAAACATCAAATTTTTTTAGTTTTTTTTTATTATTAATTGTAATCAGTGTTACTCTATATCTTTTCGTAAAATGTAGAAACAAAAGGAAGCACTTGCAAAGCATTTGATGCTACGGCCAAGACAAATTGAAGTATGGTTCCAAAACCGTAGAGCAAGGTACGGTTTCTTTTTCATTTATTTTATTCTAACCTACTTTTTTTTTTACATCATTGGTGAATAAATATCTCACTATAAAAAAAGGTTAAACAACAAGCGGGTGGTTGATGATTCATTTGAGAGTTCTCATAAGCGTTAAACGTTGACGGAATATAAAATAAAGCAAAAATAAAAATGAAATCTGAATCGGATTCGACCCACCCCGTTAACATATAAGTCGTACCCTTAAATAATAAAAAGCTAATGTTGTCCTTTTCATACATTATATCTCATTCCTCCAAATATTTATTTTATAATGCTTTCCTTCTAGGTCCTTCTTAAATTCTCGAAGAGTTGTTTATATGTATATGAATCACCACTTGCTTCATATACAAAAGGAAAAATTGAATTGACCTATAAACTCATTAAGTCAACCAATTTACAGAAAGAAATGAACAGCCACTCAACTAAACACACATAAAAAAAAAAATCAATATAACGTATCAATGTTGAAGTAGTTATATATGTCACAATCACGTACATATGTGTTGTTGCATGGTTATTTTCACAAGTGACAACATGATTTTTGAAGCCGCCAATTATGATATCCATTAACACGTTTTTTTAATGTGTGATGTAACTTGTACTAGTAAGTTTTGTTTGACAAATACTTTGGCTCGTGTAGGTCAATATCTACGTGTATACATAGCTACATATACCTATATTTTCACGTGTCAAGGCCACAACGTTTTATACGCTCATCATCGTCTTTTAAATTTCATTTTTTGGTAACGTATTGTTCGTCACTTTTCTAGATGAATCTAATTTATTCATGTGTTTAACATATAGTATCAATCTATAAATCGTAGTCATTATTGAGAATGGAAAATTGTTACTCATTTAATTAGGAGATCCATTTTTTTGTTGTTAATAATTGTGAACAGATGGCAAAGGTATGGTGCAATAAATAAGAAGAGTTTCATCATTGGTCGTATTACTATTATGACTGTTTCCCAAAATATGACTATGATCATAACCACACCCTTTTTTTATAATAGAAATATATTTTATAGCCTCTCTTTTTCTTTATACTGCATATATTTTTTGTGTTTTGTAATGATTTTTTATTAAGAATTTCCAAGTAAATCAATCGATGTGTTTTCTTTCTTCTGCCTCGTACGTGTACTTACTTTCTCATCAATGCCCTTTGACTCATAATTGATTGGGCCGTTCATGCGTTTTTATTTTCCATGATTCTATATACTTTTAAATATATATTTTGCATCGTCGACTAGCATAATTGATCCTTGTTTGCATGTTATAAATTAACAACTTGTACCAATCATTTATAAAATTTAATATGTTGATATCGCATAAATAATAACTTGTACCGTGCCCTTTTCGGATTTGTTTGGTTTAGGAGCAAATTGAAGCAAACGGAGATGGAATGCGAGTATCTTAAAAGGTGGTTTGGTTCATTAACCGAGCAAAACCACAGGCTCCATAGAGAAGTAGAAGAGCTTAGAACCATGAAAGTAGGTCCACCTACCGTGACCTCCACCGCGAGCCTCACCATGTGTCCTCGCTGCGAGCGAGTCACCACTGCAACGAGCCCGTACGTCGTCGATGGCGGCGGTGGCGTTCTTGCCAAGAAAACGCTTCCGACGCAAGAGCGTGAGCATTGATTTTATGTATTTTCATTATTGGATATGGTTTAGAAGTCAACGAAAGTCAACCCAAGCATGAGCCAAGAAAAAAATTGATGATCACATGATTTCCTGTAAATAGTATGTAGGGGATTCTATGCGCGCACAACAGTTCTTTGTAGATTATTATTATTTTAATCAGAATTCAACCTCTTTTTAGTATATAGCAAATTAAAGAATTCCATACATTATTATGTCGATTCGAATAGACTAATTAACTTCATGGGGCAGCTAATTTGAAATCAACAATTTTTACCTGGGACAAAGAAAAACCTCGATCACGAACCCTTTTCGCAAGGAAAATATACATTTTGCAGATAAACATTTTTTCAAATTTGTACTTGGGCATTTATAACCAAAAAATAAATAAAAAAATAAAGAGACAAAGAAGAAGAAAGAAGTCCTTGACATAACATTCAAATAAAAAGCTATTATCAGCAAATCACGATAAACATTTTAAAATTTTTTCTACATTTTAAAAGGAGTATGCTGTATTGTATTTCAATATGGTTAAATATCTTTAAATTAAATAACTTATGTCATTTACAGAAGAAAAAATAAAAACGAATGGTTTTTGTTTGTAGAAATTTATCTTCCTCGTTGGACCGATTGGAATAAAACTAAATCGGTCCATTTAGGGATTTTTTGGGCCGCGATAAAATGCCCCAGTTTAAATATCTCTACATTGTGGCATTATGCTCGGATTTACATTATAAAAACGCGAAACAATATGCTCTTGAAGTTAATGGCCCATAGTATTTTGGGTCGTCAAATTTGAAATCCTACTACACTTTGTCTTCGTTGTCAAACCAAAGTTGCTTCTCTTTACAAGCCATTTGTCTCTGTTTTAAGTAGTTTTTCTTAACAAAGCAACAAAAGACACATCGCAAAAGACATTGGAGACATTTGTCTGTAAAAAAAAGTGTTCTGTAAGGGAAAATTTTTGTGTTGTTGAATTACAATTTTGTTCGTTTATATATGGAATGTACCTTACAGAGAAAGTGTTCACGCGAAAGGAGCTTCTGAGAAATTCATTCCCAACATTTGGCTCATTGTAATTCACCTCCAAGTGAACACCTTTTTACATTGTACCAAAGATAATTCCATATAAAATGTGGATCCAGAGATGGTTCATAATGCTAAATTTTAGTTCCAAATCTAAAAAGCAAATAATTTTGGAGACGTAAGTAGTAATAAAATTAACGCTTGCAATTGTAACAATAATGAGAATGGTCCTTAGATGGAGTTCCACAGTTGTAGCAAAAAGCCAACCCACACCTACAAAAAATGTTAAAGATCAGAACTTTCTTTTAAGATTTTGTATTAAAGACAAGAAGAAGTTACCTGCACTTCATGTATAAGCAACCCTGAGACTTTTCAATGTAGAATTTGCAAGAAGGGCATCTTCTCCACTTCTGACTCTCTGCCATTTTCTTCAGCAAAATATCTTCTCTTTCTCTCTCGTTCTCCGCTAGCTTCTGAAACTCTTCGCAGGTCACCTCCAGATGCCACTTAGTCCCACACGCTACACACACCATTCTATTGCAGTGAGGACACTCAGATTCCTTCATCTTCTCACCTTCGCTCTCGTCCAAGAACACAAGAGCAGAGCAATCTTTGTATGGACAGTAGAATCTCTTTGAACGCATCACCACCGCCTCACAAAGAGCGTCTCCCCACCGATCGAAGACCTGTCGTGGCAGGATCACACGACATTGCTCTGGCTCGAGCCGTCCCGAGCAACCAGAGACAGGGCAATCGATAGAAAGTATGTTGTCTTGTAACTTAGCCGCGATGTACTTCGAGACGCAATCGTTGCAGTATGAGTGAGAGCATCCATTGATCGAGAACGATTCAGTTAGAGGTTTTGATTCCACACAGATCTCACAGTCGAAGGAGGTCGAAGGTCTCAAAGGCTTACCCTTTGAGGACTGACCCTTTTCTAGGATTGGAGGGAAACAGAGGATTCTTAGATCGTCGTCGTCTTCGTCGTTGTTATATCGGTCGAGATCTATGAAGATTGATGAGGGTTCCGATTTGATTCTGCAGAGGCGACGATCGAGGTCGTAATTCTCAACGGAGATTGCGTCGTGCTTGGTGAAGCCGCGGGAGGAGAGAGGGGTGGAGAAGATGAAACAGTCGGAGTTGCCGTTGTCTTCGTCTACGTCTCCGGGAAGGTCATTGAGATCTACGATCACTGCATTGACGGATCGTGTCGCCATTTCCTGATGATGTAGAGTGGGATTTTGTAAGTTAGGGTTTTATGACCTTTCTATATTTTCTGCTTTATGTTGAGTTGTTTTCCAAAGCGTCTCGTTTAAACCTTAATACTCCATATTTAAAACCTGACCTAAACTAAACAACATAGTAATTAGTACATTGACATTTCAATGTATCATCACTTGACTAGTCAAATCCATTATGGGTTCTTATCTTTATTTTTTCTTAAATTAAATGGGTTCGTTGAAAACCTTCTGCCTTCTCTATAAAATTGTTCATTGGAAACTGTTAAGACCTAAGACTGAACACACAAAACTCTAATTTTTGAAGTCTCCAAAACACTAGAAAACCAATTCAGACGGCGATTGATTCTGGGAGTTGACTGAACCGTCTTTCAATATCGAAAATAATCGGGGGACAAGAAAAGAAATGAACAAAATTGATATTTAGTATTGTTGTATTTTTTTCTAATTAGTGATTTATCTTATATTTGTTTGGGTAGTCATTATTCTTGTGTATATGTGAACTTGGTTGAGAGTAAGGAGGAAGTAGTTCTCTTATACTTAGCTAGCAGGTTGTCGCGAATGCAGCGGTCCATAACTTTGAAGACGCTTTCAGGTGTGGAAGAAGTGCCAGTATGGAGCCGGGCATTCCTCTCACAACCAAACAAAATAGGTGGTTGTCTGAGCCACGGGTTTCTTGAGGAGCGAGGAGTCACTCGATGAGGGATTTTTAAACCAAGAAATTATAGAATTCCAGTCCTGGAAATGAGTGTTTGGTGATCCCAGTTTGATGAAAATCTTGAGCCAGACCTGCTTAGAGAACTTACATTGGAGAAGCAAGTGATCCCTCGTTTCATCGAACAGAGAACACAAGCAACAGAGAGCTGAAGAGACAATGCTCCAGCGAATAAGGCGAGACTTTACTAGCATACAATCCAATTGAGCAATCCAGAAATGAAAGGCATGTCGCGGAACATGACCTTTGAACCAGACAGTCTTCTTCCAGTGGACTGGAGCAGAGAGTCTAAGCAATTCTCAAGTGGCTGATGCGGAGAAGAAATCTCTGATCGAAACCCTACATTTCCAAAGGTACATGTCACCCCCTGCAGAGATTGTTGGTGCAGGAGTCGCGAGAAGCATAATGCTGATCATTTGCAGTGACTGAGCCCGAGTTCGAGCGCCAGGAAGCTTCCAAACACCAGCTTTTGTAGCGTCAATAACAGCACTCTCATAATGAATAAGTCTTGGTCTCTGTGGACCAGTAACATCGAGAAGAGATCCCAAATGTGACCAATTGTCATATTATAACTTGCATCTTTGGCCATTTCTCACCGAGCAATTCAGGAAGATTGTTGCCAACGGACGAAGCTGCAGAAGAGATTTCCAAACCCAAGACGAAAGAGATTATTAAAGTCCAGTTAGGAAAAATTATTTTTCGACTATAAAGATGTGGGGAAAATGACTATTTCATGTGGCAATGCGAATTTCACATTGCAACGCTAGGCCCCATAAATTCAGTGCAATAAGATTTCACCCAAAATCTGCAATCATAAAAAAAAAAAAAAAAAAGAATTGGGACCTGAATACAGAAACTTTTGGAGCCCTTGGTTTGGTAGCGACGGGAACGACCCGGCGCGAGGTAGAAAGGCATGCATGCGAATGGACCATGTGCGTGTCACGTGACATTATTATGGTGTCTTTATTATTTGATCAAGACACGTGGACCACTATTATTGGTTAATTGAACCCATCAGCCTGATCATGTCCTTGGCAAAATCCATCATGTGTGTGTGAAGGGGATAAAGGATCAACGCAAATATAAGATTACTCTTGAGATTTGACAATCTTTGTTACCGCATCAAGAAAAATGATACATATTCCATTATTATCTTTAATTGATTTGACAATCACAACATTTTTCATTCTTCAAAACTATGTATACATTATGCTCAACCTCTAAAACACATATATCAAGCATAGATCATAAGTAAGCATGCAACGGAAATAAAAACATATTGGCTCTATAAGGAGTGAAAACGCATTAGCTCTTTGGAGAAAATTACAGATATACAGTGTGAATTTTCTATTGGTCTCGAACTAGAATCCAGATCATCATCATCTCTTTACCATAAGTTTTGATAAATGGTGATATATTATATTATATAAGGAACATGTATGTGTTACAGGCGAAAAAGGGCATTGATCTTGTAGGTACGCCAAACTCGATACGTTTCTATTCAGGGGATCTATATATAATCTATTTTTATAATAGTAATCATTTATAATTAGTAGTTTAATGGTAATGTGAAGAACAAAAATCGATTAATTAATGGTGATCGGACTCGTGCTCTCGTTTCTTCGGTTATCGCCATGTGATTAGGTGTGTGTTAGAAAATAGTATGTCGTTAGCAAATATGCCTCCACGAATTCTTTCTTAAACAATTTGCAGCATCCCAGGATAATTGATTCGGGTAGTAATAGTAGAGTATTAGTCTAGAAAAATAGAAATAAGGATAAGATATTGTGTCTATATATGTGATTGGGTTGGACAATTGACATGATTGAGGTATCTTTGACGGGGAACTTTATTCTCTCAAGTAAATACTTAATCATTGAGATCTTCTGAATTTGAGCAAGATTATCTAAATCACAAGTTTTGGTAGAGAGCTAACTAGGACTGTTTCAGTGTCATTTACTGCGTTACATTATCATTACTCTAGTTGTGATAAAGGTAAATTTGTAAAGGATAATCATAGGAGTAGGACTACTTTTGGTTACAAAGCAATTATCATCGTTACAATAACCATGCTATCCAAATAATTTTTTTTTCGGAATATCATTAAATATTGGAGAGAGATAAACCGGACCACTAAATTTCTTTGTCACTATTACACCGTTATATTCCATTCTTCAGGATGGTATGATTGAACGTTGTCGAAGTAATTGAGTTTGAGTATATTATTTAACTCAAGAGATTATATATATATATATATATATTCACTTATCAGAAACAGTCAAAGATCATATAGCTACAGCCTATAAGACTGATACACGAAACAAAAATTCGAAATTCCACGAAAAAAAATCCATTCCAGTCAAAAGAACTTTTGTTTGAAAACGAAATAGAGGTGTGTAATTCAACGGTTCAAAAAAAAAAAAAATTCAACGGTTCAACAGTGATTCGACCTAACACTAATGACATTTGTTCTTCGTATAAATTTTTGTCGCTGCTCTGTACCAACGAAGAAGCTTTTTTATTATTTAGAATCAAAATTTAATCACATTTACAAACAACAACAAAAAAAAAAGCAGATACACAGTATAGTTTTATTCACGATAGCTATTTGTCAAGCAAATTAAGAAGAAATATTCGCTAAGTTTTTTCGCAACTTTTAAAAAGTTTTGAAACTTCACCACTTTTCGCTATGATTAAACTGTCCACGTCCCGCCAGAAACTCACCCACAGATGATTTGCCACGTGTTCACACTCAACTACACACCCATTTAATATTATTAACAAAATAAAAATAATTTTAATTACACTTAACGTAATCGTGTGCGGATGAGTGACGATGACACTGTCACTGCCTCAACGTCTATATATGAGGGCCTCCCAAATCACCACCTCCTTCTGAAATTAGTACTTTCCCTCTCCTAACGGTTTATTTATATTCTTCCCATTTTGCCCCTTCTTCTCCCTTATAATTTACCCTCAAATGCCACTGTCTTCTTCTTCTCCTTCCTCTCACTAAAAACCCCCCAAAGTATTAACAAACCGACTCACCGGAACAATGATTACGTGGCACGACTTGTACACAGTCCTCACGGCGGTGGTGCCGCTTTACGTCGCCATGATTCTAGCCTACGGATCCGTCCGGTGGTGGAAGATATTCTCCCCAGACCAGTGCTCCGGCATCAACCGATTCGTCGCCATTTTCGCCGTCCCTCTCCTCTCCTTCCACTTCATCTCCACCAACAATCCCTACGCCATGAATCTCCGCTTCATCGCCGCCGACACGCTTCAGAAAATCATCATGCTCGTCTTGCTCGCTCTCTGGGCGAATCTGACGAAGAACGGTAGCTTAGAGTGGCTAATCACCATCTTCTCTCTCAGCACTCTCCCAAACACTCTGGTCATGGGAATCCCTCTATTGATCGCCATGTACGGGATCGAAGCAGGATCTCTCATGGTTCAGGTCGTCGTTCTTCAGTGTATCATTTGGTACACTCTCCTTCTCTTCCTCTTCGAGTACCGTGGCGCGAAGCTTCTGATTATGGAGCAGTTCCCGGAGACGGCGGCGTCGATTGTCTCCTTTAAAGTCGAATCCGACGTCGTTTCGCTCGACGGCCATGATTTTCTCGAGACGGATGCTGAAATCGGAAACGACGGGAAGCTTCACGTCACGGTGAGGAAATCTAACGCTTCGAGAAGGTCGCTGATGATGACGCCTCGGCCTTCGAATCTGACCGGAGCCGAGATCTATAGCCTAAGCTCGACTCCGAGAGGTTCGAATTTTAACCACTCCGATTTTTACTCGGTTATGGGGTTTCCCGGCGGGAGGCTCTCCAATTTTGGTCCGGCGGATTTATACTCCGTTCAATCTTCCCGTGGTCCGACTCCACGGCCGTCGAATTTCGAAGAGAGCAACGCCGTGCGGTATGGATTGTACCCTAACGGTTCTGTTCCAGCTCCAGCCGGGTCGTACCCGGCTCCGAACCCGGAGTTCTCATCCGGTACGGCTGGTTCTACTAAACCGAATAAAATACCTAAAGAAAACCAACAGCTGGATAACAAAGGGAGCCATGACGCCAAGGAGCTTCACATGTTTGTCTGGAGCTCGAGCGCTTCGCCGGTTTCCGACGTGTTCGGCGGAGGCGGAGGCGAACACGTGGCGACGGAGCAATCCGAACAAGGCGCCAAGGAGATCCGGATGGTTGTCTCTGATCAACCTCGAAAGAGTGATGCTAGAGGTTTGAGTTAATACTAGTTATATTTAATCAAATGTTTGATTGAACTAAAGTTTATTAATATATCTTTGCTGATTCTGGTTTTGTGTCAGGTGGTGATGATATCGGCGGCGATGACGGTGGAGAAGGTGAAAGAGAGGTAGAGAAAGCTACGGCAGGGTTGAATAAGCTGGGGTCCAGTTCCACGGCGGAGCCGGCCGGTGGAGATACCGGCGGCGGAGGAACCGGAACACATATGCCGCCGACAAGTGTGATGACGCGTCTAATTCTGATAATGGTGTGGCGAAAACTAATCAGAAACCCAAACACTTACTCCAGTCTTATCGGTCTTATCTGGGCTCTTGTTGCTTACCGGTCAGTTCAATCATTACTGGTTATGGATAAGGAAATAATATCTATATATAATTGAGCTATAGAATAATTGTAATGTGTACTAATGTGTGGGTATGGGTTTTTTTTTGGAAATAGGTGGCATGTGGCTATGCCCAAATTAATACAACAATCCATCTCCATACTCTCAGATGCTGGTCTTGGAATGGCTATGTTCAGCTTAGGTAACAAGATACAAACCATTTTGTATTCTCTTCCTTTTTTAAGGAGGATCATACAAAATCAAGTTCTCATGATCTAATCTTAATATCATTAACATAAGTTGGGGTCCAGTTTTGTTCTCATCTTATCTGTAAAAGTTTCATTAAATGCAAAGGTGGGTCTGGGTTATTTTAGTTAGTCTCGTAATTGTACAGCTTGTATTTGGTAAAAGTCATATCAAACATAGATATGGACTGTAGAATGCACTCACCCAAAGAGAACTAATCTGGACCCTCTGACCTTGTGACCCAGACATGTTGGGTGGGTCCGGTGATCCCCACACCGAGCCAGTGGCTGTGTGTACTTATTTGGGGTCTCACCAAGTAGCTGACCTAACACTTGCTGTCAATCTCTTAAAATCCCTTGATTGATTAAATTGTCTTTTTTGTTTTTGGGTGTATTTTTAAGGTTTATTCATGGCACTTCAACCAAAAATCATTGCTTGTGGGAACTCAGTCGCCACTTTCGCCATGGCCGTCAGATTTATAACCGGTCCCGCCATCATGGCTATTGCTTCGCTCGCCATTGGGTTACACGGTGACCTCCTCCGTATAGCCATCGTTCAGGTATTAAAAAAAAATATTTCACCCGTTAAAAATGATTTTTACTCTATAATATGATATACATACATGAAGACGATTATCGATGTTGAGTGTTTGTTAATAATTTATAGGCTGCGTTGCCTCAAGGAATAGTTCCTTTTGTGTTTGCAAAAGAGTACAATGTGCATCCCACGATTCTCAGTACTGGGTAAGTTCCAAACTTCTTATGTACTAGTTACAAAGACTGTTATTTATGGTCAAATTAATATGTGATTAACATATATGTTGTTGTTGTTGTGATGGTGAAAATGGATGTAGGGTAATATTTGGAATGTTAATAGCCTTACCAATAACTTTGGTCTACTATATTCTTCTTGGCCTGTGATTTGGTTTCTACGTCTCAACTTCAACTGGCTCTTGAGAACGCCTCGGGGATTGGGATATCTATTTCTCGGTAACCAGGAAATAAACAAAGGCTTTGATTTCGTGGGAAAGAGTGTGGAAGGTGAAGAAAGAAGATATGCCTTTTGGCTTTTGGTTTTGGTTCCAATATTTGTGGAACACAACAAAAGTACTTAGGATTTAGTGAACAAGATTGCATGGATTAAGGATCTTGTCTTCATTACACGCCAAAAAAAAAAAAAGAAGGACTCGATGATAATTTTTTGGTTTTCTGTTTTGTTTTGGTTAATTTATTTGTAGATTTTCGCTTTTCAAATGTAATGCAATATTATACGCTCGTGTGTGTGACTGTGTGTATATGCACCTTTTATTAACTGACTTTTTGCACCTTCAGAGTCCATACACATATAACTAAAACTAGCTTTCCAAAGCTTAAATCAAGTGGTTTGTACTATAAACGATGTTGACTATATGCATGTGTGAGTTTGAGAATTTTGTTTTTTTTTTTATAACCAACATTAAAGCAATCTTATTCTCTAATTCATTAATCATATTCAGTCAGACGATGCATGTAAACCTGTTTACAGTCCTGTTTTTTTACGAAATAATTACAGTAAAATGCACTTTTCAAACTCATATTACACTATAAGGCACTTCTAGCTATTATGTGACTTTTCTATTTTTCATTCCGAAATTGTCCTTGTGTTCACGATAATGGTGGATATGAACTTGTGGATACCGAATTAAACCCAGATTTTAAAAATAGTAATTATTTTCCCTCTTTTGTTTTGTTTTGTATTTTTCTGTATTGTGAAATATTTAAAATAATCTTTTTTGTTAAAATGAATTCTAATTTTATTTTGTCATTGTTTTAAGATCCATTATGCTATACTTTATTTATCAAACAAGAAACTTTTCAAATAACCTTTATTAATTTTTTTAAAAAATCAGAAATTTACTTAGATATTCATTCACAAAATACGATGTGGATGATGTGTGATGAACATATAACTTGGACACAATTATGTGGATAGGTTTTCATTCATTTATTCGACGTGGATATACATTTTATATTGTCTATAATTTGAACATGATCATGTGGATAGGTTATTGATAATATAATATGTATATCCATATCGAATCTATCAATAAAAAACATATCCACACGATCATGTCCATAATGTGGACAATATAAAATGTATATACACGTCAAATATATGATTGAAAATATATCCACGCAATCGTATCCATGTTATATGTCCATCATGCATCATCCACATTGTATTTTGTGAATGAATATCTAAGTAGATTTCTGTTGTTTTAATTTTTTTTTATAAAGGTTATTTGAAAAATTTCTTGTTTGATAAAGAAAGTATAACATAATGGGTCTTAAAACAATGACAAAATAAAATTAGAATTCAATCTAACAAAAAAAATTGTTTTATGTCTTTTACACTACAGAAAAATACAGCACAAAACTGAAGGGGAAAATAATTAATGTTTTTAAAATTTGGGGTTTAATTCGGTATCCACGAGTTGCATCCACCGTTCTCGTTAACACAAGGGCAATTTCGGATTATTTTGGTGTGAACAGTGTTTAAAGTACAGAAAAAGTACCCTAATAGCTGAAAGTGTCTTTTTTTGTAAGAAGAAGTTGTAAAAGTGCCTTTTAGTGTAAATCACTCTTTTTTTACAAGCATCCTTCGTTGTTCACCCATGGCTTATAGCATCCTCATTCACAAAATGTGGATATCAATTCAGTTAACTGCACTTTCTTACAGCGATAGAGAAGATATTGTTGAAAAGTTTGGCCCGATCGTCATTCGTCAAGTTACGTTGGTTCGTTGCCATTAGGGCTGGGCAAAATATCCGTCATATTTGATTCGATCTGTTATTCGTTTTGATTCAATCCGAAAAATCCAAATATCCGTAATTTTATGGAGCAAAACAAATAGTAAAATATAATATCCGTTAAAAACGGAGCAAATCACAAATACTAAAAAATTAAGACGGATATCCGCTCCGCTCCGGTATAAATATATATGTATATATAGATAGATAATAATTCATATAGTGTATAATTATTATATATAAATGTAATTTTTGTGAGTTTTTGTTTATAATTTGATTATTATAAATATTAAAACTTAATAATTTAAGAAAAAATATTTTTCTAAGAAAATATTATCATTATTAGCTAAATTTTGAAATTTTTAATTTTAATTTTAATTTTAATTTTAAATATTTTATTATTTAAATATTTTTATGGGGCGGATCGGATATCCGGCAAATATTCAGATTTTTGGCGGATATCCGGAAAACGGATATCCAGATAACCAGCGGATACGGATAAAAGAAAATGATTATCCGGACGGAGCGGAGCGGATCACGGATATTTTCAAAATCCAAGATATCCTTTCCGCGCCTACCCCTAATTGTCATGGTATTTTTTTTTTGGTCTTAGTACCACCACTTTAGTTTTAACTTTTAACTGGACTTAAAATATGCAGTGGTATCCCATATGCCATATACAACCAAGTTATTTAGATACACCTGGAAGCTATCAATAACTTGGCAAATTAGATGAATTTTTTCACAGAAATTCTGTCCTTTGTACAATAAAGTTGAAATTGCCATGACCTAAAAATAAGGATATCTTTTTCTTTCCGTTGTTTCTATATTTTATCTGTAAAAGCTGTCAGATTATAAAGCCATACGTCTAGGCATAAAGTTAACCAAAAACACCCTTAGGCTCTGATTGGTAACCTGCGGAATGGCGGAATTGCGTTTTTAAACACAATTCTGCAGGTTTTTTGCCAATCAACAAAAATTCGCGTAATGAAAAAATACACACAAAAACGCAGACTGCGTTTTTGCTTAACAAAAATACAAAAGAAAAGTCATTCCGCAGAAAAGCGACTTATAAGTTGCTTAATCTATTCCGCAAGATTTTTTCCGCAATTCCGCCATCCCGCAAAGTTACCAATCAAAGCCTTAATGTATGTGGTTAGACCATCAATATCGCAGTAGTTTTAGTGGGTTTCTTAACCCAAAAAAATAATAAAATAATATTTAAAGTCCAAAAGCAATAAAAATCGATTCTTATTTTGGAGTTGGGAAAATCGGTTCTTCTTGCACACATGTCAAATAGGTATGAACAGACTAATTTCTCGCACACATGTCAAACAAGCATTGGACAAATTATTTGTTTTGTTTTTTTTTAAGAAACCTATTGGAACTTTACCCAGATACCACTAAAATTATTAAGTTTCTTAATAAAGTTTTTTAACCCATATTTAATATTAAAAAATACTTAAGAACCTATTAAGAGTTTTAGGGATAATGATGTTCTTAGTTTCTTTTTATATTTTTGATAAAAGTTACATAAATATAAGTATTTAAAATAGGTATCCAATATCTATACTAATATATATCGACTAACAAAAAATCCGAATATCAAACGTATAGTCCTTAAGTCAAAGTAGTGTGAATCTCATTCATCAAAGGCAGAATTGATTATCTTATTTTCGAATTAACATTGATCATTAGTATAGTTAACATATTTATACAAGGCGTGAAAATATTATTTGGAAAACAATGAAAATATTCCGAAAATAACATCAAAACTAATGGAGTGGATATGAAGAAAATTCAATGAATGCAAATCTAAGATCGACCAACATGCAGCCTCCGAAAGCGACGAAGCACTTCACTTAACGACAAAAGTATACCTTTTTTTTCCAACTAAAGCTTCTTATTTGGAGGCTAAATGTTAAAACTTTGTTACTAACTTAATTTTTTTTGCTTAATAGTTTTTCTTTTGCAACTAAACTTCTTGTGACTAGCTAATCAACCATTATTTGAAACGAATTCGTCTTAAATCACCAACAACTGATCCCAAACATCAATACAAGTTATAGGTTAAAGATTTGAAGCTTCTAAAATTTCTCAAAAGAAAAACTAAACTTTTTTTGTTTATCTCGTTTACACACATATAACATACCCCAATAATATACATACATATATATATATATATATACCCTCAAAAGTTCTGAACTGTTATTTATTTTTTTTGGGCAATTATTCGTTTTGATCTCGACTTTTTTAGAGCTATATTACAAAGTTTTATGAAAAAGAAATACTTCCCACCACGTGTGTATTCCAACATCCAAATCCGAGCATCAATTGTTTACAACAATGTGGACCACACTTTACTCGCATTTCGATTATATTAGCTAAGCTTTCGTGGAACTATTCAACAGTCAAAATTTTGAGTTTATCATATTCCCACATAATTATCGGTAATATCATGAAAACGATTTTTCTTTAAAACTAAATAAACTAAACAACTTCGATTACGCATCCACTTTGAAAATAGCACACCTTTGGTTCTTTATCTCTATCATATTTTATTTCTTATTTATTTCAACCCTCTACCTATTTAGTTTATAACTTTATATCTATGACCAGTATCTTACCAATAGATAGTTCTTTAACAAGATAAAAAACAGTACAATATGGAAGTTCCAATCGAAGTTACTGGTATCTCATCGACGAATCCATGAACATCACAATATTGTCCTCGTAAATTCAATATATAGATTTGTTGCGCAAATACTGTATCCAAGTGGTTTGGTTTAAATAAAACGTATTTTGCTTGTTCTGGACCGACATTTTCGTTATATGAGATGCTCAAGTTTCCATGGCTTCAGTCTAACCGAATATTTAAATTCATGTGAAAACTTTTGCTTGGCCTTTTTCTCTCTATTTTATAAATCATTTCTCAATTATTTTATGATAATGTTAATTTACTAGATTCATGATGCAAAATTGTCAATTTGTTTTTATCGTGCAAATACAAAGACTAAGAGCCATAATGTGTATATTTTAAAATTACTATGTATATATCGTTTGTCGACTATTAATCTATCATCGTTATGTACTACTATGTTAACTGGCTTCGGATTTCTGTAAATTCTAAATCTCAGAATATTTTTCGCGGTTAAACTTGAAATATAACCCTTTTTCCATTAGGAGACAGTAAATAATTAATTTTATTTAGTTTTTTTCCATAAAAGGTTCCAAAAAACGAAGGGGCAGTAAGATCCGGTCGATGAAACAAAACGACATAAAAGTCGAGCATCGAATGCACTTTTACATAGACAGCTTGGCCCTTTCTCTTGTGGGTTGTGGCTTGAAGTTATTTCTAAGAGTTCGCTTTACACATGTAATAACGGATACGAATAAGGAAATCATAAATATCAATAAATTTCCTTACATATATTCTCCTGGGGTTGTATTGTATACTTGATTGTATGATCTAACATGACTTTTTACAAATTAAGGGGATTGAATCAAATGAAAACAAGATGGAAAGGCACCATCTATAAAACAAAAACTCAATAAATTAAAAAATTAATGAATGGGGTTAGTGAGAGAGAAAGGTGATGGGCAGTGTTGGAGGAACAACGAACAATGGTCCGATTGTAGGGTCGTTCTCCTTACATTTAGATGCAACGGTCCAAATTACGTAACATGCATAAGATTCACATCTCACATATCTATCATTTCTACTTTAATGTCTCATGGGTAACAAGTCCATGCGTGTGTATACAAACTACAAGAAACCAATTGTACTAAAGCCTTTTTATATATGTTTGGTGGCCAAATCATATAGGGTATATAGAATATTGTGTTTAGAGTTTACAGTTTTCATCAGGTATCAAGAGTTATATATATAACCAAAGAATATTGTTATCACTGAAAGTTTGAAAATCTCAGTATAATCTTAAACTATCATTCTAAAAGTTAAAGCCAATAGAAAAACTTATTAGCAAGTCTTGTTCGAATCTTTTGGCTAAAAAAGCAAAGAGCTGGAAGACAGCTCTTGACGCATATTAGCAATGTTGTCAACAACTAAAAACTGCAATCTGGGCCAATTTTCTTCTTTTTTAAACAGATGTCACGGCTCCTTAGCATATCGTCATATATTGTATATGTTATTAAAAGTGATTCAAAACCTTAATGGATTTCGAATGGATCCTATTAGAATAAGCATGAGGAATGTCAAGGTACTCACGGACCGGAAGCATATATAAAGAAATTTTACAGTTTTTATTTATCATTCACAAAACCAAAAAATAAATCCTAGACAAAAGATATTAGTCTCTAACCTTGATTCTCGATCTCTTAGTTTTTGCCTAAAGTTCCTCTCGTTGTTTCACCCTGATTCTCAACAACATCATATCTGAATATAACATTTGAGAAACCCATAACACGTACACTTTCAATCATTCACCAAAGAATTTGAGCCTCCACAAAAATTCAAAATGTTTTAGGTAAATATTGCTTTTATCAAATCTCAAATCAGTGCAATCGAGTCCCTCCAAAACCCCATCTACGCCACTTAGGGTGACATCCAAATTCACGCACCATCTAAGTCACATTTCAATAAACATGTTGAGAGAAAGGACTACATGAAGGGACACAAATGTTGAACTCTGATACAAATTAACACTTATGAGCCAGAGGGGTGCTTCCATTCATGAGACTCTTTCCTTACCCTTCATACAAACACTCTCGTGTCATGCATAGAGTTTTTAATTGACAAAACTAATTTAGCAAATTGATATGTAAAAATTAAAATGGATGCAATTCACAGATTCTTTAAAAATTAGACACAGTTCATTAGCAAAATTATGATCTTTCACTAATTTTTTTAGTCCAATAACAAGTGCATGTGGTTGCAAAATACTCCTCCCTAAAAAGTTCCAGGACTTGCCTCAATCTTCCACGGCTCGTATACAATATGTGCATAGTATGTGCATAAAACATAATGACATTGAATGAACCATCATAATATAATAATATAACTAAATATAAAGAATAAAACATGCTCGTGGGATGAAAGACAGAGACGAGCTGTTGAGTTTGCTCTTCTCTTTTACCTGCTCTTCTCTTTTACCTGCTCAAACAGAGATAGACTCTTATAAACTTGATCATCAACCAATATAGGATCGTTCATTTTACCACCTAACAAGGAAAAAAAAAATCAAAATTAACATCAATTCCATCCAAATCTTCCCTGAAACAGACTCAAATCACAATAATTGGCCATTTGTGTTAGTTAGGTAAAAATCTAAATAATTGGCCAGGAAATAAAAATCTAAACGAAAGTCTTTCATTCCATGACAAACTATGACTAACCCTAAACATCAATTTGCAAACTTTCCATGAATCAAGCCCCAAATCTTTATACCCAAATCTTTACCATAAATAATCTTGGCATAAATGAAGATATATTGGTACGAGTTAATCATGAGGCAATGTTTAAAGTAAATTATGCTAACAAAAAGACCAATAATCTGGCCCAATAGTTAAAAACTATAGGCTATCGGAGAGAAGTTTAGTAACAGCCCAATAATCAAATGAATAGTCAGAGGACAGTGGATCATCTTTATAAATCTCTCTCTCCTTATCTTCAATTTTCTCCCCCAAAATCGATGGCGTCGCTGACCTCATCTTTTCAGTCTCTGAAGCTCTCGTCTTCCATATTCACCCATGGCTCCACTCCACTCTCTTCTCTCTCCAGACCCACTGTCCTTCCGAGCCCTAGGAAGCCGTGTTCAATGCCGGCGATCCGAGCCATGAAGACGATGCAAGGGCGCGTGGTGTGCGCGACGAGCGACAAGACAGTGGCGGTGGAGGTGGTGAGGCTAGCTCCACACCCGAAATACAAGAGGCGCGTGAGGATGAAGAAGAAGTATCAGGCGCATGACCCTGATAATCAGTTCAAGGTTGGTGACGTTGTGAGGCTTGAGAAGAGCAGACCCATCAGCAAAACCAAATCTTTCGTCGCGCTTCCTCTCCCTAAAAGGAACGACCTTGGAATTCCGATGGAATCTCAGCAGCAGCCGGTGGGGGTTGAGTAGAGAATCGTTGTTTGTTTGTATGTTCGTCTTGTGAAAATTTCACTGTAATTTCTGTTCTTGATACTGCGATTTGCTTTTCCATTTTCGGATTTGATTGCGATTTCTATTAATGCTTTCAATCATCAAAAAATCCAGTGTACTGCGTCTGTGGAAGATTCTTGGCTTTAGTGTGATGCGGAAGAACTAGAAGAAGAAGTTTTATGGGCTCAGTTTTAACTAAATATGGCCCATTTATCACATAATTGGCTTGGGTTTATAATTTATGTATATCAAAAACATTAGTTGATTTGAAAAAACAATTGTATTTAGCGGATTTTTCTGAAATCGAAATCACAACGAAAGCGAATATGTCTTCTTCCACACGATGCCGATCGTCTTTCATCCCCTCGATCCTCTTCGCCGTCGTGCTCGTCGGACTTTTAATTCCTTCCTCCGCCTCAAAGCGCCACGTAATCAACTTCCGATCGCCTGGACTCTACCCGGAGGGACTAACCTGGGATCCATCTGGCCAGCACTTCATAGTCGGTTCCCTCCACAGCCGCACAATTCATTCCGTCTCCGACGCCGGCGTCGTCCAGACTCTAGTCTTCGATCCCGATCTACCGGAAAACGCTTCGATCCTCGGCCTTGCCGTTGACTCCACTAACCGCCGTCTTCTTGCCGCAATCCACTGCGCGCCGCCTCTCGCCCCCTTCAGTGCCCTAGCAGCATACGATCTCCGGAGCGGCGGCCGTCGTATCTTCCTCTCTTCTCTTCCGTCACTCGCCGGAGACGACGAAGACATCGCCCGAGATATAGCTAATGACGTGGCGGTTGATTACAACGGCAACGCTTACGTCACCAACTCAGCGAAAAACTTCATCTGGAAAGTCGATCGTGACGGCGCAGCCTCGATCTTCTCCAGATCGCCGTTATTCAACTCCCAGCCGGTGGCGGAAGAAGCAGACGCGAGTTTCCGCGATTGCGGACTCAACGGGATCGTGTACAACAGCAAAGGATACCTCCTGGTGGTGCAGAGCAACACGGGGAAGATGTTCAAGGTCGACGAAGAGAGCGGGAAGGCGAAGCTGGTGCTGCTGAACGGAGATCTGGTTGCGGCGGATGGGATGGCGAGGAGGCGGAGAGACGGCACGGTTATGGTGGTGTCGCAGAAGAAGCTTTGGCTTGTCAAGAGCCAAGATAGCTGGAGCGAAGGTGTGGTTTATGACGAAATTGACCTTGATGTGGAGGGGTTTCCGACGGCGGTGACGGTGGCGGGGCAGGATAGGGTGTATGTGTTGTATGGGAGAGTGATGGAGGGTATAATGGGAAATTACAAAGAAGGAGAAGAGAGGGAATGGTTTGGGATTGAAGAGGTTTCGTCGGAGAAGGAGAGTGGGGAAGATAAGATTTGGGTTTATGTGTTGATCGGACTTGGCTTCGCTTACTTTTGTTTCTGGAGGTTTCAGATGAAGCGGCTCATCACAAACATGGACAAAAAGACCACTTAGCTCTTTTTCTTTTATTCCAATTTTTTTCAAGTCTTTTTGGTTACATAGTTGTTCACTTTTTTCTTCTTTGTTTTTGTTTTTGTAATAGTTCTTCACTTTTTTCTTCTTTGTTTTTGTAATAGGAATCAGAGAAACATCATGTAGTGTCATTTGGTTGGATGATGAAATGGAAGCTATTGAGATTCTCTCTCACACTTTGTAGAGTAACAAAGGCATCAACAGAGAGAGTCTTATTGCAGCAAGTTTGCTTCAACCACAGGTCCAAGAGCTTGTTGTTGGAGAGGTGAAGGAAGAAGAGGAAAGAGTTGTTCAGTGTCTAACTCTTTCTCTTTCTTATTGTCTCCTGACTTGGGCTCAGACTCTTTGGCTTTCCCTCTCAGCTTCTCTAAAGCTTTTCTCCTGTTCTCTTTTCTCCCTACTCGAGCTTCCGCGGTTTCGCCATGGAGAAAGCTGATCCCTCCCAGAACTCCAGCCGCTAGATAGAGCATCGTCTTTCTTCTGGAAACATCATTGGAATCAAGGACTTGAAGCTTCTTATGTTCCTTAATGTTTGCTTCAAGTAAAGGCTGACAAAAGAAAGGAAAAAGATCATTCAGTGAGCTGCACAAACTAAGAAAGCTGATGCTTGCAATGGAGACTTCAATACCAATTTTATTCTACTGACCATGGAAACAACACCAATCATAATCTGTCAGACACCTGATGTGGAGGTCATGAACAAATGTGAAAAAGTTTATGGCTTGATGATATTCATATATGCAGCAATCTCAAAATTTGTGTGTACATACGATATATAGAAAATTCCAATAAAGTTCAGAAGAAGAAAAAAAAACCTCAAAATCTCAACAAATCCGTTAAATTCAGGGAGTTTTCACCCGAATCACTAGTTGCAAGCATATAACAGCTGAATTTCTGGGATTCATCGTTGTCCCTGAGCAAACAATCCCTAATAGCTCAACCTAAACTCAATTCACATAGAGAGTACAACTATCTTTTTCCAGAAAAAAACAAAAAAAAAACAATTCGATCAATTAGATGATATGAAAGGTGTTGTACGAAACCTGAGGAGAGCCTACGCTTGTGGCTAAAATCACCCGTCTCCGGGAATATTTAGCTGGCTCTCCGGTTACCGGAGAAGGTGAGAATAAAACAGGCGTCCATATAGAGCACGATCTCGCCATCTGTCTTCTCCGGTGATACCTTCTCGAGTTAACCGGCGTCGATTAGAGAAGTCAATCAGAAATGTAGAAAATGAATTATAAGTGGTGGAAGTAATGGGCTTAAAACAGTATGGGCCTAATATTTAACATAACTGGGCTTCGTTTAAACATGTATGTTGATTTTCACCTGCAATCTTTGTATTACAGATTTCTAGCGAACAGAAGATCACATATTTTCTCTTCAACATCGACATTTTCTCGGAAACGGCCACTTGCAACAAGACTCTTCTTCTCTTTCCTCAACGACGCTGCTTCTCTCTGGAAATCACTGGTTTTCTCAAGACCAGACAATAGAACATTGTATGTCCCCAGCGAAGGCATGATCTCTCGTTCTCTCATCGCTTCCAATATCTTCATTGCTTTCTCTGGACTCCCTGCTGATATATAAACATCCATCAACGCAGTGTAAGCAGCTACTCCCTTTTGATCATCTGGAATCAAGTCGAAAACCTCTGCTGCTAAGCGAGGTCTTCTTCCAAACCCGAGCTTGTGGATCAACGTTGCTCCTTGGTACACACCAAGCGAGTGTTGGCCTTTCACCATCTCCTTGACCGTTTCTGTCACTTTAGCAAGCTCGTTTGATCTCAGAAAGTTACCAACTAACGCAAGATACGCTGTCTTCTCGAGGTGAATTCCCATTTCCGAGCTGTAATCTAGGGCCAACGAAGCCCCCTCGGTTCTACAACGGTCACAGTTTGTTTCTACGATTGCTGAAACAACAAAAGAATCCAGCTTTATGTTTCTATCTTTCATCTGGTTAAGAAGATGATCAACTGCAACCAGATTCTGCTTCATCAAGAGAACGGAGCTGATAACTCTACTATAATCTACACTTTTCTCTTCATCAACTTCAACTTTAGGAGTCTCATCGATGTTATTGGAGCAAAGAGATTCAGCGGAAATGTGCGAGTTGGCTTCCCTTAACAGATAATCACTTTCCCCTGCGTCTTTCAGAGTCTCTAAAGCCTCGAAAAAGACAGTGTGACGAAGGACAATCCCGTTTTCTTTCATGTACAGAAGAATTCGAGTCATGAACGATGTTTCACCGAATTTACAGGCTTTCCCAATCAGAATATTGCAAGCTGCTTTATCTGGCTGCACCCCAATTTCTTGCATTTTAAAGAAAATGTCTAAGGCCTCCTCGCATTTTCCTGCAAATCAAATGAAGAAACTAAAAACATCATTGTCATGACTACAAAATATTCAGAAACAAAAATCCAAGAAATAAATGCATATACTAACAAAATTCCATGGAATTATTATTTTGAAATCTTATAACACAAAGCACAAGTTGTCGACTTTCACTTAGGAATTTTAACAAACAGTTGATGTGCATAGAGTGAAGCTCACCTGTACCAACAAGATACTCCATCAATACTGTATAAGTGTGACAATTCGGGGAGATTCGCGACCGTAACATCTCCTTATACACCTCCGTCGCTTCTTCCACCTTCCCATTGTCGAAAAACATCTTCATATAAGCCGTGTACGACACGACGGTAGGTTCGCTCCCTTGATCTCTCATCTCCTCCCACAACTTCATTGCTCCGTCAACGTCACCGGAGCTTGAAACCCAGTGAATCAACGATGTATACGTCACCGTATCGATCACCACACCTTTCTCCTTCATGAGCTGGAAGACGGAGTACATGGATTGGATCCGACCCGCTTCCCCGAAGATATCGAGCATGGTGGTGTAAGTGAAGTGGTCGTGTTTGAAACCCTTGATCTCGGAAGCCCAGTTGAAAAAGAGCCAAGCTTTCTGCATCGGAGGGTGGGCTTTCAATACACGGTTGATTATGTGAGAATCCCATCTGACGCCGAGATGTGGGAGCTGTTCTCGAGCAGATTCCCAAGTGGAGTACTTGAGGATGTTGTAGATGTTGGATACGATGTCTCTTGTGTAAACCCTGGGGTCTGGAGTCTGTGTTTTCGCAGGATTTGGTTTCTGGAAGAATCGCTTGGTGGGGTTTCTGGGTCTTGGTCGGGGAAGAGAGTGAAGTAGCTTGACGGAGCTCCGGCAATGGCAGATTTGGATCCGGGCTTTGCGGAGAATGGTAGAGAAGCGCATGAATTTGAGGATCAATATCCAAATTTGAGGATCAATATCCAAATTCAGTTTTATGGAATTCAACAAAGTCTCTATCTACTTTTCTTCCGATCGTCTTCCTTGCTTCGTCTCAATTGGCTCTAAATCATTTTTGGAATTTGGCAGGTTTTTAGTTTTTGGTCTCTTTTGTGTACGACCTTATTCATTTGGGCTTTATATAAATTATTGGGTGGTCTTTATTCTTAATTGATAATTTTTGTTTCTTGTGTGCTAAGCGAGTTAATAGTGCTGATGCAAAAGAAAAAAAGAAACGTTTACATTTTATTACCCCATTTTTTTCCTATAATATAGTTTTGAGAACAATCACTACAATGACCTTATAATTAGGTCTGTTTGCAAAACTAACCTAGGTCCCTTACATTTTTGCTACATTAACCTTACAAACGTGGAAAAGACAGTCTTACCCCTTACAAATGAAAATCTGGTTTTGTTTTTTTTTTATGCATTATAAAATCGTAATTCACAAATATAAGAAATATATTGTGATAAATATATAGTAAATTATAACTTTCTTCGAAATAAATGTTGAACAAAAATAAAAATTTCAGTTTCCAGCAAAAAACCTGTTCTTCGAAACCCTAGAGGCGATTCGGTTGCAAACGAAGACAACGGCTTAGACGAGACGACGACGACCTAGAAACCCAATTTTCCGGTGTTTCCTCGTTCTCTGCTTCATCGGCGTTAGTCGTCGGCCTGGTCTGCGTCTCTGGTAAGTAACTTTTATATGTCTTCGTTTTGCTGAAATCTTTGGTTTGTATCGTTTTTTGATTCGCGTTCGTTCACCGTCGTCGGATGTGTCGGCGAGAGGAGGCACCGGCGAAGTCTTGTGCAAACTGTCTAACCCTAAATTTGTTTTCCGGTGCAGGAATTAGTTGGTCCGCGGTGGTTTCCTCAAAAAAACTACGCTTCGTCGAATTTTTTTTCCCGGTGAGTTTTTCGAAGGAATTTAACAGGCATATTTGGTAGACTACTAAAAGATAAGTCTATTTCACTTATGTTATGGTCAGGTAGAGTTGTTTGTTGTGACTCTTATAGATAGCATTGTGATAGAGTTGTTTGTGTGTCGTTTCAGGTTTAGATATAATTGTTTGTTTTGTTGACATGTAAAATTGTAATGGTTGTTTGATAGACTTGTTTGTTGAATATAACCGTAGTTTGTGTTGAGTGGTAGACTTGTTATTGGTATTAGGTAGACTTGTTATTAGTGTATGGTAGACTTGTTTTGTTGACTTGTAGAAATGTAATGGTTGTTTGGTAGACTTGTTTGTTGAATATAACCGTAGTTTATAGTAGACTTGTTATTGTGTCGAGTGGTAGACTTGTTATTGGTGTGAGGTAGACTTGTTATTGGTAGACTGT